TCTGTTCGACAGACGTTCCATCTCCTTGTGCCGCCTGGGTTTCAGTGGTCGCGCCCGAGATCTTCTCGCGGCTCCGCCTTTTTCCTGGGCTCGGGGGGGCCTTGTCGGGGCTGCTTATGTTCTGCCTCGTGGTCTTGCCTCCGATTGGTGGTCGGGTGGCTTCGTGGTAGGTGTCCCACCTGCGTGCTTCTCTTGGCGGCAGTATGGGGTATTTTGGCGATCCTTCCTTTTCCTGTCCCTTCTTAGGTGGTTCCTCTTGTTAGCTTGGTTTACTCTCGGCTTGGTTTTCTAGTGGGGGTTGGGGGCCGTCGTCTTGCCACATACTGTCGCCTTTTTTCGTGCGGCGCAGGCGGAGCCGCTTCAGCTTGCTTTCGGTCTTGGTGTTGCTTCTGCACCGTTAGTCAGCTGTCTTGTGCGTCATTTCACCTCCGGCCTGTTCGTGCGCCGCTTGCACCATCCTGGTCTCTGGTCAGCGTGCTCTGTCTTCTCCTCAGTTGGTAGTGCCCCTTCGGTTCCGGTGTGTTTTTTCGTCGGCTCTTTCCTTTGGGCCTTTGCCTCTGGGGGTCGGTTCGCTGAGTTTTCTTGCTCCTTCGGTTTTAGCGTTTTGGTTGTTTGATGGCAGCAGTCTCCATCTTTTCTGGCGCGGGGTGGGGCTGCTGCATTCTGGAGGGGTCCAGGGTTTGTTGGTGCTTCGTTGGTCGGGCCGGGGGTGTGTCGTTTTTGTGTTCAGTGGCGGCCCTCCGCTGTTGTTTGCGTGCCACGGCGTTTGGGTCCGGAGCGCGTTTTGCGTTGATCCGGTTCTGTTCTTCCCGGTTCGCGGGTGTTGGTGTCCCGGGTGGTCAGCCGTGTTCTTGCGGCTAAGCTGCCTGTGTTCTTCCCTCATGCCTGTGGCGTTCGTGGCTTCGCTGCTCTCGCTGCCGTCTGGGCGACGTGGCCTTGCAGTCTTTCGGGCATGGTTTTTGGTGTTCGTGCAGGGGCCTTGCTGCTCGTGGTTCTTGTGTTGTTCCCGGGATTTTCGGGGCTGTGGCGCCTTGGGTTGGCATTTGCTGCCAGTTGTCTCGCCTCCTTGGGGGGTGCGTGGTGTCCGCCTCCCGGTTTTGTCCCTTTGACCTTCCTCTGTGGGTAGTTAGCTCCGGGGAGCCGACGGGGCTCCCCCCAGAAAACCAGCGTTGAATGTAATGAAACGCCATTTTCTAGGTGAGACCCGGAGGCTCCCCAGCAACCCTCCCTCCCTCCGGTCGGTGTTTTTCGCGTGTTTTGACATCCAGCCTCAGAACTGATGGGTGGATAGCCGGCGTGGGAGGTCTGGGGCTCCCCCTTCCCCCTCCCGGGGAGGGGGGAGCTGCGCAGACAGCGGCGCGGTGACGTATAACGTCATACTAGTTTCCTTGTTTTCTGTTGAAGAGTTCTATTCACTAGTTCGGCTTAGGTAGCAATTTTCACCAGAATAGGGGTTTGTTTTGGAATGCTTACCTTTCTGGATGCTTGACCCGGTCGATGGCAGACATAGAATGCTTCCAACCACACGGGGGTTTCTATAGGCCATTGCTCCCCTTGCCTCTCTGAGGGGGCCAGGTTCTGGCTCGTGGTCCCCGGTAGGCCCTAGAACTCCATACACATGACTGATGCCAAAGTCTGACATTAGCATATCAGCCGGTAAAGCTCCGGGGAGCCTCCGGGTCTCACCCAGAAAATGGCGTTTCATTACATTCAACGCTGGTTTTTTGCTTTTATTCACTATATACAGACGTTATATATAAGTATCTACATTCGTGTTCACCATAATGAACCCCTAAGTTGGCATGCTGAGTGGCAGTGGCAGCCAGTGGCAGTCCGCCACTGGCTGCTACTTCCTCCCTCCCTCAACTCACCTGACTCACCCCACATTTTCCTCCCACAATACTGTTTTTGCTTTTATTCACTATATACAGACGTTATATATAAGTATCTACATGTTTTTTTCACCACAACTGCACAACTAAGTTGATATAGTTAGTTCAGACACTAAGAGACGTCGCTACACTGTCAGGTGGCGGCTGCTTCCCTCACACATTCAAGGTCAGACGCACTAAAATTTTACCCCCCAACAATACTGTTTGTGGTGTTATTGCCCTATATACAGATGTTATATATAAGTATTTACATGTTTTGTTCACCATAACTGTTCAACTAAGTCGGTATAATGCCCAAAGAGCATAGTGACCACCTCTACCAACATGACAAATCATGCAGATGTTGCCACACCCATCACTAAAATGGCTTCTCCCCCACACTCCTTTTGATGTTATTACACTGTATATACACGTTATATATAAGTATCTACATTCGTGTTCACCATAACAAACCACTAAGTTGGTATGCTGAGTGGCAATGGCAATGGCTGCCACTCCCTCCCTCCCTCACCTCACCTGACTCGCCACCATTCTCCTCCCACCATACTGTTTTTGCTTTTATATACAGACGTTACATATAAGTATCTGCATGTTTTGTTTACCACAGCGAACAAATAAGCTGGTATAGTGAGTCCAGACAGTAAAAGGTGGCCACACAGAGTCAGCAGATAATGCTACCTCCCTCCCCACCAAGATTACTCCTCCCACTACAGTGCTAATTATCACAACAATCCTGCTATTATCAGAATCCTGGTCATTTTGATCACAGTCAGGGGTCTTCTGTAATAATATCATCGCTAAATAATAGCATGAACATGTATATTATGGCCTTTTTAGGCGATGCTGTGGTCACAAACTGAACAGCAGTACTGTGAGCTCATGCTGCGTGCGTCAGGCTTGGTGGCTCACTCAATTCTGAGGCCCCTCACACCCAGGAATTTTGCCCGCGATTTTTTTTTAAATGGCGTCTGTTTACAAGAGCCCTGATGAAGGTGTGGTGAACCCTGTGTATCCAGCTGTGTTGTAAGAGTCTGCCAGTGGACTCCCTTCCTTAGTACTTTTCATGGCTGCCCCGGTTTTTCTTGAGGCTGGGGCTTTGGGGAGACAGCTCGGCCCTGGGGCCTGCCGGGTGGGTTCCCAGGGCTGGGGTGGGGCTGACGTAGGGGGCCTCAAGCCCCGTTGGACCCCGCCTGGATTTTTCTACCCCTCTGGGCAGGGCTTGTGGTTTGTGGAGTGGGGGTTTTACTTTCCCCCCTCTCCACACGACTAATTGGGTGTCGACCCTTCCCCGGGCTCGGTTCCTTGCCCATTATGCCCGTTGCTTCCGCCCTGTTGGTGGGTGCTTTTCTATATTCTTCGCCCATTTTTCCTGGGATGGGCCTTCTCCATCATGTCCCCCCTCTTCTTGGGGTTCTGCATGACTTTTGGTCTCGGGTGCGACTGGGTTTTTCTGTGCCTTCGTCCTTTGTGTTTGCTCCTATGTGTTCTCGATGGTTCAGGACGGTTTTGCTCCTTCCCGTTTTACTGGTATGTCTGTCGTCGTTCGGTGGCGCTTCCCTCCGGTTCTTTCTAGGGCTTGTGGGTCTATTCCGGGCAGCTTCTGGGTTTTTGGCCTTCTCGTTCATTTGTTCATATCTCTTCTTTCCGTGCTGTGTCTCGGCAGTGCTTGTTTTCCTTCTGTTCTGGTCTGGGATGCCGGATTGGGCTACTTGTAGCCGCATTGTAACCAGCGTTGAATGTAATGAAACGCCATTTTCTGGGTGAGTCCTGGAGGCTCCTCGGATTCTCTCCCTCCCTCCGGTCGGCGGATTTTCGCGTGTTTTGACCACACTCAGAACTGGAGTGTGGATCACTAGCGAGGTAGGTCTGGGGCTACCCCTTCCCTCTCCCGGGGAGGGGGGAGCTGCGCAGACAGCGGTGCATGATGGGTGAGGTCATACTAGTTTGCTCGTTTTTGTTTGGGGAGCTCTATCCACTCGTTCAGTTTTTGGTTGCAATTTTCACCAGAATAGGGGTTTGTTTGGGGATGCCTACATTTCTGGGTGCCTAACCCGGTCGATGGCAGATATAGAATGCTTCCAACCACATGGGGGTATCTATAGGCCATTGCTCCCCTTGCCTCTCTGAGGGGGCCAGGTTCTGGCTCGTGGTCCCCGGTAGGCCCATAAGAGCTCCGTATACATGACTGATGCCAATGTCTGACATTAGCATATCAGCCTGGTAAGCTCCGGGGAGCCTCTGGGACTCGCCCAGAAAATGGCGTTTCATTACATTCAATGCTGGTTTTTTTTGGGTTCGTTCATTACATCCAAGGGATTGATGCAGCAAGCAGTCAGGTTTTGTCCATTCTTATGCACATATATATGGAGGATATCAATGGTGCAAAAATATCTTTTCATAAGATTGTGAAAAGAATCTACTATTTGGGGTGGCTATTGACCTTGAATAAACAGTTTATTTTATTTATTATGCACCCCATACCCATCCTGTGGGCATTAGTGGAAAGGGTTACAGAGGCACATAGTGAACTCAGGGACTGAACCCCACAATTTATTTAATTTAGCTAAGCAAGTTACAATCTTGATGAGCTAGTTACAAAATTCAGTATAAGTCGTCATATCAACAATGGGTTCGAGATCGACCACAAGTACAGTTTCTAAATTAAGCAACTGACATATGTGGAGAGCTAGTGTCACAATTGATATGTTTGTCCTGCACACTGCCCCCCATCCAGTGGGCAGTGGTGGATAGGTTACAATCACTTAGTTACTACCTACAGTTAGCAAACTGGGGATATTTTCCTAAAATTTCTGATAGCAGATCATTTTGAATGAAATATTTACACATCCTTGGAACATTGGTTATAGAATTGTCTCTGAATTCACATATCTTTTCGCACTCCATCACATAGTGACGGAGGGTGTGTGAATAATTTGGTTGTCACAGTTTACATTTGGTCAGGTCTAAACAAACACCTCATGTTGTATTTTCATTGGCTGAAGTGTGTTCATTTACAATCTGTGGTTCCTGAAATTTAGTCATTGAATGCACGAGCCTCATGCATCTCGGGTGTATCCCGATTTTTAATTCACTTGGTGTTATCTACAGGCAAAGTCCACCAACCTCCCAGCTTGCCATAAGGACACATGGCGGGGACAGGAGTCATACACACAATGAAAGGTCAAGTTTAATGTTTTCTTTCATTACCGCTGAGCATATTTCATTAATGTTATTTTATGTCTAGTGAGTAAACAAGCAGCCCTCTATGCTGGAGCAACAGAAGGAAGCCTAGTGCTCATGGCATCGATAGGGTATGAGAAAGAGGATTGCTTTGTCCTCTGCAAATAGAGATTTTCACAAAACTAGTCAAGGTTAAATGTTTGGCAACATATTGATCTTTCTGATCTAAGGCTCCTTGGATAATATCTGAGCCAGATCTTTTTTGGGCCACTCAGGACTTGTATCATCTGTCAGATTCTAGTTGACAGTGTCCACATTCATGACAAGTATCTTTCCTTATGGTCTCGTTGTGTATTCAGAGAGGGGGAGACAATGGCAAGTTTAACTCAAGCCACCACCAAACAACCAGCTTGTCTAGGTTGCTTGGTGACCTAGTACTGTATGTGCAAAGGAAACAATCTATACTCTCAATATTCCCTTTGAGCAATCATTAAAACGATGATCTCTCTAATGACTACTGTATATGCTGGCGCATAGGTCGACCCCCCAAAAATTTTGAGGAGTAATTCAGATTTAGGCCTATATTCGCCAAATAAGACGACCCCCCCCTTCCCCCAATAAGGAAGGGAAGCAGCCTCACCGCCAGCTGACATCTCCAACCTCGATTCTAGAACTGATGTAGTGCGTACTGGGTCACCTCTCTCCTGTGCTGGCTCTGGGTTCTGCTTGTTCAGCTAAGTGGTGGTGGTGTTTACCCTTGGTGCCATATCCTGCACACTGTGGTATAGTATGAGCCTAGTTCTGAGAGTGCTTGGAGCTGCATGTGTGCAATGTTACCTTTCCTATGTGTTCCCTAGTGCTGCCCTTTCAATGCCAGGGTTATTTTCCCTGGTGTGTTCAGGGGTCGCTCCCTTAAAGGTCCATCTTGCTTGTAGTGGCCCTGGCCCAGGGTGAGTCAGATGTCATGGGACTTTTCCTGTCTACGAGGCCTGAGGGGCCTCGTAGCCTGGTGGATAGCGCGCAGGATTCGTAATTCTGTGGCGCGGGTTCGATTCCCGCACGAGGCAGAAACAAATGGGCAAAGTTTCTTTCACCCTGAATGCCCCTGTTACCTAGCAGTAAATAGGTACCTGGGAGTTAGGCAGCTGTCATGGGCTGCTTCCTGGGGTGTGTGTGTGTGTGTGGTGTGGAAAAAAAAAAAAAAAAAAAAGTAGTTAGTAACCAGTTGATTGACAGTTGAGAGGCGGGCCGAAAGAGCAAAGCTCAACCCCCGTAAAAACACAACTAGTAAACACAACTAGTAAACACAGGTTGGGAGTGACATTGGCTGGTGGGGCGCACTGGTTTGAGCATTTCTCTCAGTGTGCTAAAGTCAGCCTTCACTTCTAGATTGCCAAACCTGTGTTGGCTTACTAATAGGTCCAGTGTAGCAATCTCAGCATCTTGGTGTCCTGCTTGGGTCTCCCCTTCAAGCTCTGGAAATCCCCTGTGGGTTCGGTGGGCCTATGGATACTCCCCCGAACCTTGCTCTCGCTTCGTGCAAGTTTGTGGGTTGCTTGTCATCCATGCTATGTGGCGACTTTCTATTCTTCCGCCTCCATCATGCTGCCCATTGGGTTGGTGGCACCTTTGACCCAGAGTCATGTGGGGTTTGTTCACCGTATCTGACTTTCTGAGTCTCCCAATGAAATTAGGCTTATAAGGCAGCAACTGCTTTGCATGTTTGGTTTTCTAAGTTGCAACAGTCTAGGTTATGTGCCCAGTTGGATGCCCTGGAGCTGGCCCAGTTGTTTTTTTAGGGAACCAGAATTGGAAGTGTGGGTGAACTCCACCTTGGGTCCATCCGTACCTCCTCTGAGCCTTTCCCTGTGCTTCTGGCCCCAAAGCATCTGAGATGTTCCGTGTTGGGGCGGGAATTAGTTCGGGATGTGGTTCAGCTAGCTCCTGGGGTATCATCTGCTAGCTTCTAATTGGTCATAGAGGCAGCTGAGCCAGCTCGTCATGCCGAGACTTCTGGGGTTTCCTTTCAACCAGTCCTTCCTTCCTTTGAAGCCTCTCCCTTGGACTTCGTTTTTCTGTCCTGGGCAGTGGGCAAGGACACTGGCTCTGCCATGGGGCCCGCTTCTGTGTCTTTTGAGGCTTAGGGGAAGTCATATGTGGGCCCCCTCGGTCCCTTTCGACTCTATGCTGTTCGGTTCCCTCCAAGGAGGGTCTTCTTTTGCAGGGGGTTTTGGATTTTCATATCCTCTCTTTTAGTATGAGTATGAGTTGGGTGCGGTTCCTCCCAAGGGTTCAGTTCTGTGTGCCTTTGGGACCTTTGGGATTGTCCATTCATAAGTTTCTCCCTCTCAAGTCCTTCTTGCGGCGACTCATGAGGCTCCTTTTACATGCCTCCTCCAAGACCCAAATTTCATATTCTTGATAGGCTATTACTCTTTTGGGTTTGGGTCTTTTTCTCTGTATTGGATGCATTATGTGGTTCCGAAGTCTTCCTGGCTGGCAGACAAACCCTTGTTCTCACTTGGTGCTTGGCACAGTATTTATCATACCTATAAGATGGAGTGGTGTGAAGTGCTGACTGTGCTGCAAGTGGTTTTTTTTTTAGGGGGGGGGCCTTGACTTTTGCGCCTCTCAATGACCGCCTGTTTGTTCCTGCTTTTTCTTGGGATATGGGTCTCGTGCAGCTCCATGCCCAGGTTTCCCTGTTGTCAGTGCTGCTTGTGGTGGATGATCTTTGTTTTCATCTACATTTGGGTTTTGTTGTGCATTTCCTGGGCATCTTTGAGCTGCATACTGTGTTGCTCATAGAGGATATGGGAACACTTGGTGGGGGCCACATGTGGAGGGGTCTTGGACTTAGCTGTTGCTGTACCAGCTGCACTTGCCATGCTGTATGATCCCATGCTCCAAGAGGCAGTGGCCACGTTCTTCTCCATGTGACTCACGTATTGACAGGCTGTGCTGGCCCATTCCTTTAACCACTGCACTGCGCCTGCCAAGAAATCTCATTTCCCCATTACTGCGCCAACCAAGAAAACCCTTTTTGATTTTTTTAATTCACAGTTGAAACGCGAATGTAGTAGGTTAGATACGAAATGGACTCCTGGGACTTCGAGTGAGACGCAGCCATCATGAAAAAATTCTCAGATCTCCCTAGGGCTGCTGGCAGGATCAGTTCTGAATGAGCAACCAAGGGTGGCATACACGCCTCTGGCTCCCAAACACCTGTCGGATGCGATGTTGAAAGATCGCACTCCATCAGTGAAATTCAGACCTTATTATTTGAAGAAAATAAGGGGTCATGATATTGATGAAGCTAGACACAATAAGGACCTAACACAAGGATCGGATGCAAGTGATGCAGTACCAACGAGGACAATACAGCGAGCATATCCAGTTGTAGCTGAGCTCCACCCATACTCACTCATGTTGTCTCCATTTTCTGGAGGAAGCCCCTACAGCTCCTCGAAGCTATCCAGGCTGATATGGATAACCCAACTTTTGGCATCAGTCGATGTGGGTGGAGTTCTAGGCCTACCAGGGACCATGAGTCAGAACCTGGCCCCCCTCAGAGAGGCATGAGGAGCAATGGCCTATAGAATGCACATGTGATTTAGGAGCATTCTATATCTGCCATCTATATCTGCTAGGGGCTTGGGGTTCTCTTCCACAAGTCACCTTGGGTCTACCTCTGTTGGTCTGTTGCTGCTTGGCAATTGATCACCCCAAGTGTTTTGGGCGGCTTCCGCTCTTGTTTACCTTGGGGTAAGTGGTAGTTTTGCACTGGTAGAGGCGCAGCTAGTTTTCACCTATAACAGAGGCTGGCTCTGTTCCTTCTGGGTACATTATCCTCTTGCGAGGTTTTTCCTTTCTTTCTGATTTTGCCTAGTGGGGGGTCTGCCTTGGTGTCTACTACCCCCTTGTTATATTAGGGTTTGTTTATTGTTTGGTGGTACCCCCCCTGCTTCGCCCTTGTGTGTGGACACGTCCCGGGGGTTCAGCCTTAGCAGTGTTGTTTGGTAGCTTGGGTGCTGGTTAGCAGTACCTTGCCTGGGATAACCCTTAGCAGACAAAGTCTAGGGTCCTAGGGTCCCTGGGAAACCCCATGGGGCGCTTGGGTCAGATGGATGTGACCCCCTGAGTCTCCTCTCGCTTTGTGCGAGTTTGAGGATTGTTCTGTCCCCTTGTCTCACAGCGATGCTCATTGTTTTTGCCTCAGTCATGCTGCCTGTTGGGTCGGTGACACCTTCTACCCTTAGTCCTGCGAGCTTTGTTGCTTGTTGGTGACTCGGTTTACCCAACCTGATGATGACATTATTCGGGTACAGGCAGCTCGCCTGTTGCAGGATAGGTTTAGGTTGTTGCAATGTGCTAGGTTGGTTGCTTTCCCGGATGCCCCGAGGCTGCCTCGTTTTGCTTATAGGGACCTGGACTTGGGGGTGTTAGTCGCTTCGGCCTTGGTTCCATCTGCACCCCATCGTTCTTTCCCTGCTGTGGTTTATTTGGTTACCCCGTCTGTGAAAAATGTCTGCGCTTTTGAAGCTGTTTGCTCTGATTAATGGCAGATATAGAATGCTCCAAAATCACATGTGCATTTCTATAGACATTGCTCCTCGTGCCTCTTTGAGGAGGCCAGGGTCTGGCTCGTGGTCCCCAGTAGACCTAAAACTCCACCCACATCGACTGATGCCGAAGTTAGGGATATCCTTATCAGCCTGGATAGCTCCAGGAAGCCATAGGGGCTCCCCCCCTTCCCCAGAAAACAGCATAAAAGTGGAAGATCCGGAGAACTTCTTTATGCGTGATATCCAAAACCCTGTAAATATAACTGATATCAACATGAGCATGGCAGATTTTGAAAGAGAAATTGAAAACATGCCCATGCACTCAGCTCTGGGGCCAGACTCATGGAATTCAATTTTTATAAAGAAATGCAAGGTGCCATTAGCACAGGCACTCAGTATAGTGTGAAGGAAGAGCTTGGATACGGGGGAGATACC